GATTTTGGGGACACCTCTGCCTCACGCCGTGCAACAGCCCCAGGGCCAGCGGAGGTGTAGCCTGGGCACCGGGTTCAGCCCCTTTCCCCAAACCCTCCCAGCTGCAGCACGAGCCCAGGGCCTCCCACGCCTCCTGCTACCGGCTGTGACCCCCACCCCGACCACAGCCTTGCGCTGAGCCCACCCGGGTGCTACTGCCCCCGCCCCATGTCAAGGCAGCGGTCAGATCCAGGACACCGGAGGGCTGGGCTGAGCTCAGCGTGGCTGCTACTCACTGGGAAGACGTCGGGATCGTCATTGCACATCTGCAAGAATCGCTCCGGGCGGGCAGAGGAGTGCTCGGGCCCCTGCGGGGACCAAGCCAGGGGAAGAGTGAGCAGGAGGGGGCAAGGCCAGCGCGAGAAGCCCATGCTGGGCATGGCCGCGCTGCAAGCAGTGCTACCTGCTGCCACCACGGCCCAGGCAACACCCCTGGGGTGGCCCTGAGCTGGGGGGGGTCCTTACCATGCCCTCCATGCCGTGAGGAAGCAGCAGGACGATGCCGTTCTGCCTGACCCACTTGGCCTGCCCAGGACAGATGAACTGGTCGATGATGCACTGAGCAGTGTTGTGGAAGTCCCCGAATTGGGCTTCCCAAAGCACCAGGGCGTTGGGGCTCGCCATGGCGAAGCCCAGCTCGAATCCTGAGGGATGGGAGAGAAGCGAGGGGGTTATCCTCCCGGAGCGGCCTCATCCCCCGCAGGCAGCGGACGCGGAGCTCGCTCACCGAGGACGCCGTACTCCGACAGAGAGCTGTTGCAGACGGTGTAAGGAGCCTGGTTGGGCCAGAGGTGGTTCATGGGGATACACGTCCTCTTGTCCACATTCTGATCGTGCAGGACATGGTGGCGATGGCTGGAAGAGGCGAAAGCGTTACTCCATCATCACCCTTCGTATCCCCTCCGGAAAGGCTGGAACATTGCCTTTAGAAGCACCAAAAGCACGGCTTTACCTGAACGTCCCCCTCTCAACATCCTGGCCACTCAAGCGGATGTGGATGCCCTCCTTAAGCAGGGAGCCGAACGCCATGTACTCTGCCAGGGCCCAGTCCACCGTCCGGTTCTTCACCATCTCCCCACGGGTTTTCAGAATACGGCTCAAACCTGCCGGGACAGAAGCCGGTTCGTAGCCAGCGCAGGAGGGAGCTCCAGCAACACCACGTCTGTCCCACAACCTGCCCACGGACTGACAGACTGCAAACGGCCAGGGGCAGAGGAATGAATCCACCCCTTGCCGGGGGAATGAGGAATCGGGACTGCAGGGAAGGATCAGCCCCAGAGAAGAGATGCTCCTTGGTTTGCTTCCCTTAACCACAGCTCCCACATGAACCAATTCTCATAGGGTTTGGGTTGGAAGGGACCTCAAAGGTCAACTGGTCCAACCCCCCTGCCGTGGGCAGGGACGCCTTCCACCAGACCAGGCTGCCCAAAGCCCCGACCAACCTGGCCTTGAACACTTCCAGGGATGGGGCATCCACAACTTCTCTGGGCAACCTGTGCCAGTGCCTCACCACCCTCGGAGTGAAGGATTTCTTCCTTCTGTCTCATCTAAATCTACCCTCTTCCAGCTTAAAGCCACTGCCCCTTGTCCTGTCGCTGCAGGCCCTTGTACAAAGTCCCCCTCCAGCTTTCCTGCAGCCCCCTTCAGCACAACAAGGTCTCCCCGCAGCCTCTCTTCTCCAGGCTGGACCCCCCTGACTCTCTCAGCCTTTCTGCACAGCAGAGCTGTTCCAGCCCTGGATCATTTCTGTGGCCTCCTCTGTCCCCACTCCAGCAGTCCATGCCTTTCTTGCACTGGGGACCCCCGAGCTGGACGCAGGGCTGCAGGGGGGTTCTCAGGAGAGCGGGGTAGGGGGGCAGAATCCCCTCCCTCACCCTGCTGGCACTGTAACAGGTCCCTTCCCTCCAGGCCACATTCCAGCCCTATCCCACATCTTCCCTGAACAAATGCTCATCCTGGCGTAACTTCCCCAAGCTCCTACCTCCATGGATAGTGAAATCCTCCACCGGCACCGAGCTGGCCACTTGACCAATGTGCGTCAAGTCCTCCTCGTTCAGACCGGTGGAAGGGCAGGTCATGCTCCGGGGTTGGCCGTCCAGAGTGAAGAAACCTGCAGGAGTGTCCACCGCGTTGTGGGAGCCATGCCCAGCTCCGTGTGAAGAGCTCAGGTCACGGAGAGCGCCATCCCACCTCCCCACCAGGGTGATTTACTAGAAAATAGCTGCCACGGCTGTAGAGAGGCCAGGCTCTTTGCTAGGGACCTCCACAACGTTGCTAGCGACTTACCAGGCCAGGGTGAGTCCAGCCAGTGCTTGATGTGCAGGATCTTTTCATCCTTGGATCGCGCGTGGGCCTCCTCGCAGATCTTATCGTACTTGGCAATTTCCTCCTGAAAGGCAGAGCCAGGAGATGGAAAAGCATTAGCGAGGGGTCTCCAAACAAGGGTGCTGAGGCTGGGGGCCTCAGCAGGTGCTTGCAAGGGTGCTGGAGGGCACGGCCGGTCCCCGCAGCAGGGGAGCCCCAGGACTGTGCAGCCTTAGAGAGCAGAGCCGCTGCTGGAGGCCGCTGTCTCCCAAGGGGCAGCTCTGCTGCCGTCCAAACCAACAACTCGCAGTCAGCCCTAAAGATGCTGCAAAGCGGTACCAGGGCAAGGAAGAGCCGGCAGAGCTGCTGCTGCTGCGCTTGCTGCCAGGGTGGCAGAACCAGGGCAGGGGACCTGCCCCAGATACCCCCAGGCCACAGCGAGCCTGGGTGCCGCAGAGCCCAACTCTCCCGTGGGTCCCAGCCATGCCGCAGTGGCTCAGCGCTGTGCGGTCTGTGCTGCGCTGATCACGGGGCAACCCTCGAACGAGATGTTCCTGTGCTGTTCCGAGCTGGCACAGTCCAAGGACGAGCCTCGGCTCCTAACCCCGTCACTGCCAGATCTGCGGCACTCGCCCAACCCTAGCACAGCTCTGCCACCTTTAGGTGACCAGCACAAGCAGAAATGGGCCCGTCACTTTGTTCACACCCGGGTCTGAACCAAATAAGTAGTTTTCCCTGGAGATGCCGCCCACAGTTTTCCTCCCAGGCCCCAAGGGACAGTACCTCATACTCTGGCTGATTTACCACCCCCTGGGAAATCAGCAGCTCTGCGTATTTCTGCAGCACCGGCTTCTGTTTCCGGATCTGTTTGTACATCAGGGGTTGCGTGAACATGGGTTCGTCCATCTCGTTGTGACCGTTGCGCCTGTAGCAAACCTGCCGGGAAGGGAGGGAGCCTTTGAAAGCAGCTGCTTGCAACCCGTGGCTCCAAAAACAGTCGGAGGCACCTGGGTCTCTGTGCTAGGAAGGGTCCAAACCAGCCCAGAAGGGACCCAACCGTGTCCTCCCCCATGCGGGAGGCGAGGGCAGGCTCCATACAGAGACCGTGTCACCCCTCCCAGTGCTATCACAGCCTCGTTGTCTTGCTTCACACCACCTCCTCGCTCCCCTCGCATCAAAAGGGCCAGACAAGCCCTGAAGAGAAACCTCAGCTTTCAGAAAATACACCCCGAGAGGTGTCAGCAGAGCCACAGCTTTAGGATAAAGCCTCGTGCCACGTTTCTTACCAAATCGACCACCACGTCCTTATGGAAGGTGCTTCGCCCCTCTGCTGCCACATTGCACACGTAGACAACGGCCTCCGGGTCGTCTGCGTTGACGTGGAAAATGGGCGCGTTCACCACGCGGGCGACATCGGTCGGGTACGGGGAGGAGCGGGCCATCCGGGGGTCTGTTGTGAAGCCGATCTGCAGCGGGTGAGAGGGAACAGGACCAGCACAGTGGTAAGGATTGGGAAAGTGGCACACAGCAGCTTGGGTGCTGCGCCTGAGCTGGGGCTCCCCCACAGCTGTGCCGCTCAGCTGTAGCACGACCTGCCCATCTCCTGTGCCCCGGGCACCACAGCCCGTCCCGGTCCCAGCACCTGGGCTGTCATCCCGCTGCACCCGTGGGGACGGGCTGGTCCCAGTGAAATGTCACTGGTTTACGCAGGGGCAGAACGGAGCAGCCCTGCATGTTCTTGCATGCCAAGCATCAGGTTGCGCCATCTCTGCGCTGGGCTGGACTCAAAAGCTGCTACCGTTGAGCAGCTGGGCATAAGGTAGCGCCTGCCAACCCCAGGGTTATGGCTCATGCCAGGAACACTGGCTGGGAAACAGCCACGGCCTGCTTCCAGCTGCCATCCAGACCTGAGCCTGCGGAGGCTGGTCCATACGCAGGGGATTTGCTCCTCACCTGGTTGTTCACCACGACGTGGACAGTGCCGTGGGTGGTGTAGGAGGGCAGGTCGCTCAAGTGGAACGTCTCGTACACAATGCCCTGCCCAGCAAAAGCGGCGTCTCCGTGCAGGAGGATGGACATCACCTGGAGAACATGAAGCCACGGTGGTCAGCAGGGGCTCTGCGAGGATGGTGGGCAGGGGCAGCCACCAGGAGAGAGCCCAAGTCTCATCCCTGTGAGCCTTCAGCATCCCAGAAGGGACACAGCGTGGCTCATCGACGCACCCGATGCTTTCCCAGGGGATGGGAGTGGAGCAATGGCCACCAGTTCACCCCCTGAGCGAGGGTGGCACGCTCGGGGTGCCTCAGGTGGGCACAAGGGGTGGCACGCTTGGGGTGCCTCAGTTGGGCACAGGGGTGGCACTGGGGGTGGCACGCTCGGGGTGCCTCAGCTGGGCACAGGGGTGGCACTGGGGGTGGCACACTCGGGGTGCCTCAGCTGGGCACAGGGGGTGGCACCTGGTGCACAGCGGCTGGGAGGGGAGTCCCACTCCCAAACACACCGGTCCCAAAGCGAAGCCTTTTTCTAACTGGGGGGAGGAAAACGCCCCTTTCCCCCGCGCTTTCACCGCAGAAGACCTTTGGGCAGGAGCCGGGCTGGGCGCTCGCTCCGGCTTCAGCGATGTTATTTTGCTACCGTACCCAGGGGCGGGCGGGGGGCGCCGCCTGTCAGACAAGGGCAGAGTTTGCCTATTTATATCCAGCCTGTGGGGCGTAAGAGGAAGGGATACGTTTTTGATCTCAGCCTTCCACTTGTCGGTGTTGGAGACAGGTCTGCGATTAATCAGACCACAAATAAACTCCCCATCACAGCCCGTTCCCCGCCTGCTCTCCCACCTGGGTACAGGGAGCTGCCTCCTCCTGCCAGCTCCAGCTTTCCCAGCCCCAGGAATGGTTACCCCTGGTCCCATCGAGATCCTTCAGCTTGAGGCTCCTACTGCCGAGCTCCCCGAGCTGTGATGCTTTCGGGAGCGCCCCTCGTTTCCCTGTTTTCCCACCAGGGGTTTGGGCACCTGCTGCTCCCCGCAGCCTTGGTCGTTCAGAGACAGCGGAAGCAGCAATGGGCGCCCAGGGTGGGGGGGCCCCTGCCAAAGTTATCCCCAAAGACAACGGGAAAGGATGGGAGAGCAAAGTCAGGGTGACAGCGGGGTGGCGGCAGGGGAAGGGGCACGGCAAACAAAACCCAGCTGGGTTTCTTCGCTTTCCCACCAAACCCCGTCCAGGCTGGGCCACTTCACCGCAGGCGTCTCCGCACCACTCACCTTCTTCCCTTCCGTGTCCCCGCAGTAAAACTGCTCTGCTTTAGTCTTGCCTTGGACAACGGGATCAGCTGCTTCCAAGTGAGAAGGATTGGCCACCAAGGAAAGGGTGATGTTCCTGTCGGTGACGCGGTTAATCCGCCGGTGGTACATTCCCAGGTGGTACTTCACGTCACCGGAGCCCTGAGGGAGGGGCGAGGAGAGCAGAGTCACCCCCAGGAACACGAGCGGCTTTTGGGGCATGGAAGGAGAACTGAGGCAGGGTGGCACTGACCCCAGGGGCTGGGAAAAGGGGGAATTTTCTGGAGGCACTGGCTGAAAGCAGCAGGGACTCACTTTAGGAGCTGACCCGGCATTCGGCAAAGCACAAGTGGCCTGTTCCAGGTGCCAAACCCCCACCAAACACCAGGCACACATCAAGCCCATGCAGATAAGGTCACGCAGGGGAAGAAGCAAGCGTGGTGGGTTTGGGGAAGACACTGGAAAACAGAGTTGGGACAACGCTCGCCCAAGCTCTGCCCCCCCTGCCGCAAGCTGGGCTGCCCCTGGCGCTGCTCGGAATTCGCTGCAGCTCCCAGCCGGGGCACCTCGATGCTCCAGGCTGCTGCTGTCTCACCTCAAAGCCCCACCTGAAGGGCACGGCAGGATAAAGCCAGCCCAGCCCAGCTTTCTGAAAGCCAAATCATCCCAGCTTATGATGCTGGAAGCTCTGAAGCACGAGGGCATCGCAGCGACACAGCCTGCGGCACAAGCGATTCAAGCCTCAGGGCTTTTGGAGCTGCTTTAGGGCCCCATATGGGGACCAGGGGCTGCTGCAAGGGTACAAGTCAACCTCTGCTCCTGGCCACCTTCCCCTCACTTTGTCGTTCACCCCAAGGCTGCTTTAGGCCCACAAGAGCTGCTGACCACCCAGCTTGGGGCTGACCTGCTGGGAAGCAGCTCTGCCCAGAGGGACCTGGGGGTCCTGGTGGATGACAAGGTGGCCATGAGCCAGCAGGGTGCCCTTGGTGCCAAGAAGGCCAATGGTACCCTGGGGTGCATCAAGAGGAGCATGGCCAGCAGGGCGAGGGAGGTTCTCCTCCCCCTCTGCTCTGCCCTGGGGAGACCCCACCTGGAGCACTGGGTCCAGTTCTGGGCTCCCCGGTTCAAGAAAGATGAGGAACTCCTAGAGAGAGTCCAGAGGAGAGCAACAAGGATGATGGGGGGACTGGAGCATCTCCCCTACGAGGACAGGCTGAGGGAGCTGGGCTTGTTCAGCCTGGAGAAGAGAAGGCTGAGAGGGGATCTCATCAACACCTACAGATATCTCAAGGGTGGGGGTCACAAGGACAGAGCCAGACTCTTCCCAGTGGTGCCCAGCACCAGGACAAGGGGCCATGGGCACAAACTGAAGCAGAAGAGGTTCCAGTTGAACGGCAGGAAGAACTTGTTGACTGTGAGGGTGCCTGAGCCCTGGCCCACAGCAGCCACGGCACACGTCACTCCCCAGGAGAGGCAAGGACAGACCAGCACTGGCACCGACACGAAGGCTTCAGTCACACGAGCGTGTGTGCGACGTGGAAACCCTTGCAATGCCACCAAGTGATGCCACAAGCTCGTGCTGCACGGCCACAGCCTCAGGGACCACACGGGGACAGGCAACAGCAACCTGCTACGGGCAGAAGAGGAGACTCACCTCATCGGCAGCCTCCAGCTTGGAGTCGAACTGGCAGAAGATCTGCTCCAGCTCTTTCCTGATCACATTGGCGAGCACATTCAGGCGTCCCCTGCAAAAGCAAGACCGTTGTCGGCAACCGGCAGTGCCAGCCTGGCATCGAGTGCCAATGGTGACTTGCCACCCCCCCGTCACACGGAGTCAGAGCAACAGGGTAGGGTCAGCCGGGGAGGGGGCTCTGCAGTTTCACCCAAGGGGAGACTGCAGACCCCTCAGCAAGGGCATGGCCAAACCGCTCTGGGATTCAAGCTCTGCTGCTTGAGCCACCACCCCTCTCCAGATCAATTTACAAACAAGCTGAAGCTGAAAACACCGCAACAAGCAGAGAGCAGCCAAGACCTGAGCTCTCCAGCCAAGGTTCACCACCAGTGAGGTGATGGCAGAAACCAGCGTGCCCTCCAGTACTGAACCCCGGCAGCATCCCCCTCCTCCGCAGCCCAAGCGCCACTGTGGGGAGAGGCAGAGGTACCTGTGGGGCATCCCCATGATAACATAATCCACACCCTTCTCACTCGACTTATCAATAATGGTCTTTAAGGCTGGGATCAGCACTTCACAGCCCTCCAGACCAAAACGCTTCTCCGAAGACCATTTCCGATGGAGGAACTCCTCAAACCTGGAAGGCAAAGGGGGAGAGAGATCAGTGCCAGGGCTAGAGCTGAGGGCAGAAACCAGAGAAGGGATGGGGACCGCACCGAGGGAGCTGCAGCACCCAGCGACGCTTAAGCGGGCATCACGCATCACCCGACAGCCTCCCTCGGCTCCCTCCTGCGGGGTCTGCCTGGCTGCTCCCCCACCCCGGCACTGTGCTGCACTTACACCTTATTTTTGGACCTTTTCTTTCAGGATCATCCACGTTTTTGGGCTCTTTGCCAGCACCAGAGCCTGCCAGCCCGGCAGCTCGCTGGCGTCACCCTGCTGGTTAAGCCGACCGCGCCGGATGATGTCAAGATGTGATTCAGTTGGTGACCGCGTCCCTCCAGCTGGGAGTAAACCACCCCGAGCAGCAAGGGAAGATGAGGGGAAGGTGAAGACCCCCCCGGGGTACCTGGTAGAGCGGACCAGCCTGGCCAGCAGTGTGCGTTTCTCTTCGTTGGTGAACTGCATGATGCCTGGGGTCTCAAACTTCTGCCGGATCCACTGGCACTGCTCCAGGTCGTTGATAAACATGAACTCCACACCGATGTGCTGGCAGTAAGCCATCTGCCCCCGACGGGGAGAAAAAGGGCCGTCAGACAACAGCCGGGGCTCTAACACCTCCACACCCGCCGTGGGTGGCCTCGTACGGGACCACCGGGCCAGGGACTCTTTGGTTCCGCTCTTTAACCTTCCAGCAAGGCAAAGAGCCCTCCTGCGCCGGCGGGGACACAACCCCCCCCACCTGGCAGCCGCACGGCACTGCCCCAACATTGGGGGGACCCATGCGCAGTGCCCACACCCTGACAGCCCCATTTTGGGAGCCTGGTTTGAGCTGTTTTCCCAGGAAAGAGCCACAGGGGACATCCCAGCTGCAGGGCAGCTCAGACCCTGTACGTGACCCACATCAAAATGTTTAATTCCCTTTGCCCAAGGGGCCCAGGGTCAGACCCTCGAGTCCTTTACATCCACCTCAGAGGTGAGATTTTCCCTCTCAGTGGCATCGGCTGTGACCAGGTCCACAGCCCCACTCCGTATGGCAGGGAGAGAATCAGCAAAACAACCTCCCCCCAAAAATAAGGAGCCTGTTCTTGCAGCTTATCCAAGACATTGACGCAGCTTTGCTTCTCTCAAGCTCAACCTGTCTCAACAAAGACCATCGGAGCAAGCCTGCAGCTCGCCCGGGGGCTGCCTGCGCTCTCAGACCAGGCAGAGCGGCGTATGAACCCTGGCAGCAGAGGGGAACCGGCTGCAAGAGCTGGAAGCCCCAGCCCCGGGCTGGAGCAGCTCCTGCACCGCAGACCCTCCAAGGGGCCAGCACGCAGGGCAGCAGCGCACGGAATGGGGTTGCCGGCCTCCAGCCCGCTCCCGTGCTCGCCCAGCACCGCTTGCTGCTTTAAACTGGAAAACGTAGCTGGAGAGGTTTCCAAAAATGCAATATTTAGTTGCTTGGGCTTTGCTCCGCCTCGGGAAGCCCAAACGCGTTGCCCCAAGGCAGCGTGAGGCTGGAGGCGATCAGAGATCACCAGGTAAGACGGGGCGGCTGCTACGAGGGGGGCAAGCGCCGAGGAGCAGCTCTCAACCTAAAAAAAGCAGCTCCTAATCTGAAAAGCTTAAAATCTGCAGGTTGGCCCAGGCTGTGGGCAGCAGCGGGGCCCAGGACCTCCAAAAAGCAACCGCTCTGCCCCCGCCCGGGGCCGCAAACAGGCCCCGCACAGCCCCCCCTGCCCTCCTCACCTCCAGCCGACGGATGATTTCCCGGAGCGGAAGAGCCGATTCATTTCCACCGATGAAAGTGGTTGTGGGCAAGTGGAAGACCTTGTCGAGGTCAGATTCATCCAGCCCGTAAAAGCCTGCAGGATTTTCCATGGGTGGGACAAGCGAAAGCAAGAGAGAGAAGGAAGGAAGGGGAACGGGGGGACACCGTCACGCAGGGACCGGGTGCATTTGGGAGAGGTGGGGAAGGGACAAAAAAAAAAAAAAAAAAAAAGCAGCATAAAACCAAAAATAAGCATGAAGGAGGTTTATATGGATAAAAACCAAGCCGTAATTAAACAAAAAGACATTAAGCACAGAACCACAAGGTTATTATGAAAGGTGACGCAGGAAACAAAACACAAAGCGATATATATATGCATGTAAATCAGTAATTAAAATCCAGGGTGAGAGTCGGGAAGTTTGTAGCCCCAAGAACACAAAAAAATGACACCACGAATTGTGACAGAGGGGAGAGAAAAGCAACAGGGGAATTGAGGATTCACCGAGCACGACGGCGGTGTCGCCACACGGTGGGAATTAAAAAAAATGAAGAGCCAAGGCAGAGAAGGAAACGGTTAAACCAGACAAACCCCAAAGAGGGAAAGGACGAGAAGCAAGAGAGAGAAAACGGCATCAGGGCTCTGCGATGGACTCTCCTGAATAGCTCAGCCCGGGAGCGGGGCGGCCAGCCGGCCCCTCGGGGGGGGTTTGCTTTCCAGATCCCCCCTCGCCCAATTAACAGCCTTTTAATTAGGGGTTTAGCCTAGCTCTGCTCAGCAAACCCCCTCGTTTTTGGTGCCGGCACCTCGTGGTTCGTAGGTGGCTCCTACTTACGGCACGCGGGGCTGCAGGGAGCTGGGTGTGCTGGGAGAAGGTGCTGAGCCGGAGCCGAACGCCGGGTTTGGGAGCGGCAGAGGAGCCCCCGCCGCCGCCTGCTGCCGTTACAGCATCAGCAGGGCCCGGCCAGGGCCCGCAGCAGCTCCATGGCACCCCAAAACCATCGGAGGTGCCTCAGCGCCCGCTGACGCTCACGGATGTCTTTGGGGAGAAACTGAGGCATGGAGGAGGGGGATGATGAACTGGCTGAACCGATGCAGCAAGGCAGAAGCAGAGCCGGGAAGGGGACTGGGGCGTCCCCAGATCCTTGTGAGCAGGAACTTGGCTGGAAGGAGGGCGAAGGAGCGGAGCTGCCGGCTCCCAGCAGGGCTGGGTTTCAAGGGGTTTTCTTCCCCAGGGCAGGAGCCACAGCGCTACCCCTGCTCCTCCCAGCTCCCTTCAAACCAGCCCAACGCCTCAGCTAGGGTCTTTTGGGGAGGCTACGGGGATGCCACCCCCTAAATGCTGCAGGGCAGCTGAACACACCTTCCCCCAGGCAAAGGGAAGCAAAAATCGGCCCCTCCAGAGCTGGCCCTCCTTGAACTTAATCCTGAAAGTCTACCCCTCGCCCTCTGGTCAAGAATGAGCTGGAGACGGGGCTGGCCACGGCTCAGCCCTGTGCAGCCTCAAGGACTGCGCTTGCCAGAGGCGGGGAACACCCCCGGCAAGCCCGGAGCCAAGGTTCTCCTGGTTGCCACTGCCACCCATCCCCTCCTCCGCCCACGCCACCCTCCTGGATGCTGCTCGTCCCAGGGGAAGGAATTAAGCCAGATCCACCGGAGCTGCGCCTGGGACCAGGCAGGAGCTGAGGGTTCGGCCCCACGCCCCCAGGATTTCTCCGGGGCTCCCATCCAAACAGAAGTCCTGGAGGGAGGCGGCATTAGCCCACAGCATCCCCGAGAAGTTGCTGGTTGGAGGTTGCAGGGAAGCCTCAGTAACTTGCCGTGGCTCCCACCCTGCGGCGCAGGGCTTCGGCTCGCTCCGCCACACCACTTGGAAGACCCAGGCACGTTTTGGGGGGAAGGGGGGATCAGATTTTACAAGGAGTTTTCAGGGCTCTGAGCATCTCTGCTTTTGCTTTGCTGCAACCTGCCAGCTTTTCGGACAGTGCTGAGCACGTAGGGCTGCGACACCATCAGCGAGGGGGATGAGCTGCCAAATTTTTACCAGGACAAAACCAGGGCGGAGTCAGGAGAAGACAACTTGGATTTTTAGGAGCCTCAAACTGGTCGGGGAGATTGAGGCCTCGTAAAATGAACATTCACAAGAAGACGTGTCCTCTAGCAAGCAAGGCATGCAAACACGCAGCGCAGAAAAGGCCAGCGAGGCTCCACATTGGGGATCTCTACGGGTGAAGCATCACTAACCAAGTGCCTACCTCCAGACTTTTAGCGGGACAAATCAAAAAATAAACAGGGTACAAAACTCAAGAGCGGTGCGAGACGGGAGGGGACCGCTTTACCGGCTTGGTTCATGCCCAGAATAACCTATTCAAAGAGAGTCCTGCACTCCAGAGGGTTAAAGGCTCATTAATTGCATACCTCCTACTGTTAACACTCTCAGCCGCTCCTTGAACACTGCGAGATCTGGGGTGGGCAGGGAAAGGGGTGCAGAAAGGGAGAAGATAGAGAGACGCAGTCAACGTTAGTTTAAAACAAAAAATAAATCTGGAACCGTGAAAAGTAGTCATGGAAAGCAACAAGTCAGAAAAATACAGTATTTAAAATACAGTCAAAAACCATCGGAGGCCAAAGGGTTGGGATGGAGGATGACTACGCACTAGGGTGGGAAAAGAAATCCCATGGGAAGTCTGGCGAGAAGAGGGAGGAGCAGGGAGGGGAATGGGGCGGGGGGGCATCAGACACTGGGGAGCAGTTGAGCTGCATGGTTTGAGATGTCCTCTCCTGCACACACCTCGGACAGAAAGGGCGACCAACCGTCCCTGCTACCACCAAAAGCAGGGCAGGTTTAGACTGGATCTAAGGAAGAAATTCTTTCCAGTGAGGGTGGTGAAAGCCTGGCAGGGGTTGCCCAGAGAGGGGGTGGAGGCCCCATCCCTGGGACCATTCCAGGCCAGGTTGGACGGGGCTGTGAGCAACCTGATGTGGTTCAAGGTGTCCCTGCTCCTGCAGGGGGGTTGGGCTGGGTGACCTCTAGGGGTCCCTTCCCACCCAAAACATTCTATGATTCTATGAAAAGGCACCTTCCCGTCAAGCTGCATTGAGGGGAACGTCACGCTCTGCAGAGCAGAGAGCTGCCCCACTGACCCCCGTGCCCACAGGGGTTTGCTCTGCTCCTTGCTACCGGGCGGATTCCAAGGTCCCCCCCAAGGAGGCACCGCTGCTGCCTACACCCAGGCAGGAGAGGGATCGGGGTGTTAACGAGCAAGCCGTTAATGAGGAAGACCAAGGGTGAGGCAGGCACGCACAAGGGGGCTGTTTCTCGCGCGCCGGGATGCCGTGCCGGATGCAGGCAGGGCTGCCGGAGCGGCCGGCAGTGCGGCCTCGCCGGAGCGGCGCTCCCTGGCTAGGTTAGGTGACCCGAGTGCCTCAATCTCACCTTTGGAAACGCTTCTCTTTTTGGTCAGCGGGGACAAAGTCAGATGTTTAGGGGAGATATTTGGTTCACGAGGTCTCAAACTGCAGAAAGGGAAGGTGGCAGCACTGCCAGCCCATCCCCCCACAGGGGCTCGCCTGGCTCTTCCCAAGCTGGAGGGCGATTTCCATCAATTCCCCTGGGCAAGAGGCAGGAGCAGCTGCCTTCCACGGAGAGACAGACAGACAGGAGGCAGACAGACGCTCAGATGCACGCTGCCTTCCCCAGGCCACCTGGATTTCGGGGCGCTAAGGTGTTATTTCCCCAGACAGGTCACATCAAGCTCCCGCAGCCATCTTGTCCTCACTCCACCCCACTTACCATGCCAGATTTGCTCCAGTAGAAGACCAGGGTAAGATTACTTGGGGTTTTTTTTTTTTTAAAAAGAAAAGACAAGAGAAAGAGGAATTTGGTGGCTCCAGCCCCCACCGCTCAGCAGACCCAGCACCCTCAGGCGGGCTTTCCCCCCGCCTTGCATTTTCCCCAGTGCTTAATCCAAGAGCGCTTCCAAACCAGACACAAACCAGTTGCTAAACAAAAGGGAATTGAGAAGAAAGATCCGTGTCGGAGATGAACCATGCAACTCCTCTGAATTACAGCGCCGCCCGGCCGCGGTGGAAGCTGCCGGCAGCAGAGCTCGCACCGCAGCAGCTGACCTTCAGGGATTTCACTGCTCAGAAAGCGGAAACAAGATCGTTTCCAAGTTTCAAAACCACTCCCGTTATTAACCGCTCTGTCAAGTGTTAAGAAATACTCGCTCAAAGCAAGCAGAAAACCCAAAAAGCCATCAGGATCTGCTTAGAAATTGGCTTTCTCTGCCACAAGCAGGCGACGCTGGATCTCGGCTTGGCTGGACCTCTGCCCACGCTGCCCCCAGCGCCGCTTCCCCCCGCTCTTTGCGCCGTTTGCAAGCTGGGTTCGCCAAGTTGTGTTTTAAGATCGACCAGATGAGATTTTCCAGGATGAGGATACCAGGGGAAAGTCTATTCAGTAAAAATAGTACTTACAGCAAGATAATAAAGGCTCCTTTGGTGAGATGTGGACATTTTGAGTCTGGGGTCCTACCCCGGGACACAACCCCAGCATCAGCCAGCGGCTGATGCCAGCATCGCTTGTTCTCTGGCCTCGTTATTTCCTACGAGTTCATGGATTGATTGCAATTAAATCAACACCAGGAACTACAAGGGCAGATATTTTAGTATGAAAGCCACAAAGAAACAGAAATTAAAACTGGCCTGGCTCAGCCATGGAGATCCTGGGCCGAGATTCTCTTCCAGCCAACGCCTATGGACCAGCCGCGCCTGAACGCTTCCAACGGCAGCGAGCAGGGGAGCCGGGGCAGCAGGCAAAGCGGAGCTTCTACCGCTTCACCCAGGCTCTGTTAGCGCTGCGAGGTGCTGCCGGCCCAGCTCGGCAGCCGAGGCTCCAAGGGAGAGCCTGACCTCGGACCGCTTAGGGCTCTTGGGCTCTTCTCCCTCTGAAGCAAGGATGCTGCTGGAGCACGCCCAGCTTCAGAGGAACCACGGGGTCAAAGCAGAAAAGCCCTCTGAACTGACTTTCCCCATTGAAGCAGCCCCATAACATCAACATTCAAGTGGAAACCAGTAAGGAGCAGCATCCCTCAAGGGTCCATACTGGGACCAATACAATTGAATATCTTTGTCGATGGCATGGAGAGTGGGATCAAGGGCACCAGGCTGCAGGCAACACCGAGCTGAGTGGTGCGGTCGATACCCTGGAGGGAAAGAATGCCACCCAGAGGGACCTGGACAGGCTGGAGAGGTGGGCCCGGGTGACGTTCATGAAGTTCAACGAGGTCAAGCCCAAGGGTTAGGGCAATCCCCAATCCCAGCACAGACTGGGGGACGGACGGACGGACAGACGGATGGATAGCAGCCCTGAGGAGAAAGACTTGGGGATGCTGGTGGGGGAAAAATTGGACATGAGCTGGCCATGGGTGCTCACAGCCCAGAAGGCCAAATGTGCCCTGGGCTGCATCCCCCGCAGCGTGGCCAGCAGAACAAGGGAGGGGATTCTGCCCCCCTACCCCGCTCTCCTGAGAACCCCCCTGCAGCCCTGCGTCCACCTCAGGGGTCCCCAGCGCAAGAAAGGCACGGACCTGCTGGAGCGGGGACAGAGGAGG